AGGCCCTGGCCATGAGCGCAGCGTGCATCACGGACTGGAGGGCAGGTCTGGGTTTTTGTTTCAGGTGGGTTGTTTTTGGCAGTTAATGATAAGAGAAGGTATGAAGGAATGTGGAAGGAGGGCGGCTCCAGGACTGGCTGACATGCTGCTGACCTGGTTCTTCCATCCCTCGCCACTGTCACCCTGAGCCTGAGGGTTTGTCCCAGCCGTCTCTTCATAAGCCAGTTATGTGTCACGGGCTACTCACTCTACAGCGACTCCCTGGGACTCACCATCTGCATGACCTGGGGCGGCCCTCGCGCCGTCCGCTGACTCCAGGGTTGGCAGTGTGACAGGGGGAGGACCACCCTGAATCTAGAGTGAATGTCGGTCCCTTGGATGGAAGACATCGCTGTGAGCATCTGCCATCAGGGAGTCGGTGCTCCGCCCGGGCGATGGAAGGTGCCAGCTAGGGCTCAGGAGCAAATGTCAGATCGTGTCAGCGTCGGTGCCCAGGCCAAGGTGAGCATGCAGAGCCTGCCACCAAGGCCACCTGAGAACCAGCAGTGCAGGCCCTTATGGTAGAGTGACACCTCCACAGGGAGACAGCCCGCACTGCAGAGGGGCAGGGTCTTTTGGGGAACAGTCATGGGACTGGTCCTCTGTAACCAGCCCAAGGCACGCCTTCGTCCTCTTCCCAGAGCTCGCCATCCCTCATCCTCTGTCTGACTCCTTCTGTCCCAGACTCTGACCAAATCATCAGCCACTTCCACAGGCAAGGTGGCCCCCGGGAGCGCTTCCCTCTACCCAAATGGAGGATAAGATGTTATCTCAACGTTCTGCCCAAAGGCAGGTGACAGTGTCCTCCCGCCAGGGTGACAGTGCCAGGGCAAGTCTCTTCCATCTGGCATCAGCCCGTGGTGCAGCCTGAAGCCAGGCCTGTGTTTCCCTTCCCTTCCTGATCATGAGGAACTCCCAGGGAGGCTGCAGGTGGCCGAGGGCTGGGTGGCTGGGAGGCCGGGTGGTGTGGCTCGCAGGTGTCAGTTCCCCGACCTCCAGGGACGGAGTGGGCCTGCTTTCACCTGCTGCCAAGTGCTCACAGCCAGGGGGCTCCAATCGTGTCTAGCTCATGGAGGGCAGCTCAGGACCCACACACAGGTGTTGGGACCAAAAGCTGCTTGTGGTGTGGAAGGAGAGACGCTCCCTGGGCATGTCCGGACACCTCCTAGGTGGTCCTCACGTCAGGCCTCCAGGGCCCCCGGGGTGAGCCACTCAGCAAGGCCACATGCCCTGCGGCCCCCAGCAGCCCACGAGCTGCCTCGTGCTCTGAGTCCAGCCTATGGGCCACTGGGAAAGGGCTGGAGCAGCACCAAGCGCTCAAAAGCCCAAAGGTGGTGCCCTTTCCAAGGGGCCAGGGCCCCCTCCCTTCACTGCCACCCGGGGCAACAGCAGTGGCCTGACATGATGGCAGGAGGCGTACACAGAATTGGAGAGCTGGCGTGGTCCTGAGGCAGGCTGTGCGTGTGTGTGTGTGCATGTGTGAGAGAGAGAGCGCCCCGATCACAGCAGCCGCCGGGTTCCCCGTGCTGAGCTACAACCCAGCGCGCCGATCAGGCCGCGTCTGGAACAGCAGACGGGCGGCTGGGCTCTTTACCTGGGGTAGTTCAGGATAGTCCACTGACCAGGCGTTTACGACAGCCCCAGAAGCCTCTCCCTGGAGCTCTCAGTCACCTGGTTAATGGCAAGGAGGAAGGCTGTCCCTACCACACAGACTTGTTTTCCTCCAGGGCCCTAGCCCTAGGACATTTGACTGGTTGCCTCTGAAGGGGCTCTGGGCAACCCAGGAATTGGGGGGGGGGGCACGCCTCTATCATAATGGCTCCATCAGCCCTGCTCACCATGTCTCAAGTTTTGAGTTTTGTTTTGTTTTGTTTTTTTTAATGATGCAAATCAAATAAGAGGTTTGCAAGCTGCTTATCTGGTCCGGAGCACCTCGTGGGCAGCTAGCCACATCCTCCCCACTACAATCAGGAAGCCCTTTCAATGACAGTGTCTTGGGGTGGGGACCCTCTCTGACCTACAGAGATAAGCTACAAGGGCACTTTCTAAGAGGCTGGTACCTCCGTCCACAGTGCATTTCCCTGGGTCTTGGGCAGGAGAGCTGTCTGGGTCTTTCCAGATTAGGGGCTGGAGACTGACTACACACAGTACGTTCTTCAAGGGTCCAGGCTGCTGGATTCCGTTCTCTACATTGTATCGAGGAATTCACCAGGGAGTCTAGTCTTCAGTCAACCGCTGGAGGAGAGAGTTAGCATCACTCAGTGGCTCAAGCTAGTAAGGAAGCTAGATCTCTGATGGATGTACCTGCATTAGATATTTTTAGCTTCAGCTTCATCTAATGAAAATCAAAAATAGCAGTGACTTATATGAGGTATTTTATTTTTCTCTCACACGGAAGAGTAGGCTCCTTCTTTATATACCACTTAATACACAGTTGCCATCCTCAAGGTTGCCTTGTGGTCCATAATGGCTGCTGGGATTCCAGCCATCATGTCTGCCTTTCAGGAAGCAGGAAGGAGGTAGCCAGAAAAGGACAAAGGGCTTTCCCCAGCCTCTGTCTCCTGAGACTGAACGCCTCTTAAAAATATTTCACCTAAGTTGCCTCACCTGCTTCCTCCTTGCTTTAGTCACATTAGAAGCAATCACCTCTGAGCCTGGAATCCTTGAATACCTCATTCCAGGGAACCATAGGCAATGACTGGATCAGCCGGTTCCCCACTGTGTGCAATGCCAGACTCCCATCCCTGAGTGCCAGAGAGACTTGGGGAGACCACTTTACTGGTGTGTAACGTGTACATATACCTGTACATAACGATCTGTGTGCATCCAGACCAGTATAAAGAATGGAGCCCAGTTCATCTATACGCCCCACCCCCACCCCTCGGAGCTAGGTAGTGGACGCGCCTCACCCCACCCCGTTAGTAGCAGCACCCCCCAACCCCCAGCGTAACCGCCGTCCTGACCTCTGTCAGTGGAGATTAGTCTCTCCCCTCCTTGAACTTCATGTGAGGAGTCAGGCGGTGCCTGCCCGTCCGCGTCAGCCTCGCCTGGCTCGGCGTCTGGCCCGTGAGATCCGTGCGTGTTGCTCCCCGCAGCAAAGCGGAGCTCCGTCGTCTGAATTTGCCACGATTCACCGACCTGCTCTACAGCCGACGGGCCTCGGGACGACCTCCAGTGTCTCTGGCGTCCGGGTGAAGTTTCTGGGAGCATGCTCGCGACGTCCTCTGGTGGGCGTGTGGGCTCACTTCTCTCGGGCGTATGCCCCGGAGTGGACTTGCTGGGTCGCGCTTTTCGCTCCCGTGGATGAGGCCGGACGCCCTCCCAGCGCGTGCTCGCCCCCCCGGCAGCGTGCGTGAGAGTCGGTGGTTTCACGTCCTAACCAGCACCTCTGTCCTCAGTCTTTCTGTAGTTATTGCTGTTGTTAATGGAGGTACTGGGGATTGACCCCCGGACCTCGTGCATGCGCTCTGCCCCTGAGCTAGACCCCCCCACCCCTTCCTCAATCTCTAACTGCAGCCGCTTTGCAGGGTGTGTACAAATTGTATGTTCTCTGTTTTCAGTCCACCCTTTGAGGGTCCAGTACCTGAAATCCATGTCCAGTACCGATTTCTGTACCAGCCAGTGTTCTAAGCTGCAAACAACATAAACCAACTCTGGTGAACGTAAGCAGAAAAGGGATTTGTGGAAGGAATTAGGAAGCTTGCAGAAGGGATGGGAAGGCTGGGGAACCAGGCTGAGCAGGAAACAAGGCAGGTTAGTTTCCGGGTAATTTTCGCCAAGTAACTAGCCACCGCGAAACCTAGCAGCTTCCTCCCACCTGCATCCCTCTGTGCAGGAGCCCCTGGGCTCAGCTGGGGCGGTTCACCTTTGCTCTGCATGGGGTTGACAGGGCTCGCTCACTCACGTCGGGGGCCTCATGTGGGATGGCAGGAATTGCGGGGTGGGGAGGGGGCTCCCTCCATGTGGTCTCCCATCCTGGTGGACTCTGACCTGGGCGGGGTCAGGTGGCGGCAGTGTTCCATGATGCAAGATGCAAGGCCTCCCTGAGACAGGAGGGAAGGGGGCAGAGCAAAACCATTAAGACAAGGACACGGCAATGGAGAATAGGACATAGACTGGTTAGAACCAACTCGGCCCAAGATGGCAGGAGATTCAGCTTCCAGGCGACCTTGAGCCTCGTTGTACGCTTGTTGTAATACCTTAGCTGCTAAATGACACACGTGGGCACCACGAGGGTTCCCAGGCTGAGCATAAAAGGCCAAGAAGTGGGCAGTAGCCTAATTCCTGGAAATCCCCACCCCTTCCCCCAAATAGTTGGAATAATCCTCCTACTCTTTAGCATATGAAATTACCCAGCCTGTAAAAGCTAACCACCCCCACACCTCAAGGCCGCCTCTCTTGCCTTCTGAGACAGCTGGCACCCCGTCTATGGAGTGTGTATCTCCCTGAATCAACTTACTTTCACTTTACTATGCCTCGCTCTTGAATTCCTTCCTGTGCCAGACAAGAACCTATTCTCTGGTGACACCCCCAGCATCCCAAGGCCAGCAGGAATCCAAGGGCTGGGAAAATAGACTCCACCTCCTGACGGTGGAGCCACCTTTGTAATCGGCTGTAACCAGGAACAGGTTGGAACGGAAGCCACCAATGCCCCACCCAAGGACGGGCTTGCTGCCTCGTGGGACCCTGGCTTCCGGATGCTGCCACCGCGGCTGTCTTACACGCCCAGCAAGCACCCTGAACCATCCCTGCCTCGCCAGTCACTTGCTGCAGACTCAAGGCCGCTAGAGGCCATCTGAGAGCAGTGACCTGGTCTTTTCAGCTCCCATGGTGGCAGGTTTCCCAAACTCAGGAAGGAGATTCAGATGCACTGAGGAATAGTTAAATATGTTACCGGCCCTCCATGGAATGGAAGATTACACAGATATTCAAAAGGACTTCGCGGACCCCTTATGCGCCGACGGGAACGATCTTGAAGACACGCCATCAACTTAGACAAACAAGTGGCAGAACAGTCCTGCGTTAACGCTCACTGGTTGTCGAGTTTCCCTGTCTCACACATTCCTTCCCAGAAGGGCCCTTCCGGGAACTACCCTCCCCCGCTGGGCAGCAGCCCGGGTGACCCCAGGGAGGGGCCCCGGGGAGCCACAGTTACCGCACTTGGCTGGGGGCGAGGAGCACGTGACACATGCTAGTGACTCTGTTGAGGGAGAGGATTCACGGGCAACACTTTCCCCTTGAAAACACTTGTGTATCCTCATGCAATGAAAGGGTTTTCTTTATTTGCTAATTTATTTAACTTAGTTTTTTAACGGAGGTATAGAAGACATAACAGAATGTTTTTAAAAGCAGTCTCCCAGCAGCTCAAGCTCTCACCCCGCCCCTGTCAAGATTTTGGCCACCACCTCACACGAACCTGCTCAGGCCTCCCAAAATGGCCAGAATTCGTGGTGACTGGCTCTTGCCACCCCCCCCCACGCCATGTGGCCGCAGGCGAAGGTGGCAGTCCCCGGGCCTCAGTGCGAGCTGGACAGAAAAGGTCTGATGTGGCAGCAGCTGAACTGCTGAAAGAATGTCGCTGGTGGGGGCGCCAGGAGCCCGGAGCCAAGCATGTGGTGGTTGCAAAACGGCAGGGAAAGAACGCGGAGCTCTCTCGCCAGCTCCCTTTCCTACCCGATGGCTCCCCGGGTTCCGTGCCGATTCCATCCACACAGATGTGTGTGTTCAGGCCCTCAGTGCCGAGGAGCTCACAGAGGCCCCTCCAGGCTGAGCTGAGGGTAGGAGCCCGGGCCTGGGGTCCATACCCGCAGGGGATGGAAAAAGAACCAGCACCCGAGGGAGAGGAGGGGAGTCAGGACCTGGCTGGAGGAATAGAGGCTGAAGGAGCCAGCTGCTGGCTGTGATCTAGAGAGAGAGAAGGAGGGAGAGAGGGGAGATGGGCTGAGAGAGGGCTGGAAGGGGGACTGAGGGGTCTCAGGGAGGCCAGGCAGCCAGTCCAGAGGGGCTCAGGGGCCCCAGGGCCGGGCATCATCGCGCTGCCCAGGCAACACAGGGAGGGCACGGGATCTGAGCTGTGGTTTCCCGTGGGCGCCTTATCAGAACTCGATCCAGCAGGCCCAGCCGGGAGGGAGCGAGCCTGGGGCGTCTGCCTTGCCAGGGCTCGCCAGCGCCTCTGATCCCTCTAACCCCAATCCTGCAGACGGCCTCAAACCTGGCCAAGCAGGGAGCCCAGGTCCGTCCTGCCCAGGGCAGATCCTGGGGGTGGCACAAGATGCCACCCCTAGAGGCAGGGGTGGGAATTGGGAGCTTGTGTTAATTTCCTGGGGCCGCCGGCGCAAATGACCACAAATTGAGGGGGGTCCTAAAACACACATTTGCTCTCTCACAGGTCTAGAGACCAGATATCTGAAATCAAGGTGTTGGCAGGGTTGCTTCCTTCTGGAAGCTCCAGGCTGTCCTTGTCACCCTTGGCTTGCGGCGGCCTTCCCCGGGGCTCTGCCTCTGCCAGCACGTGGCCTTGTCTGCGTGTGTCTCTTGGTGCCTCAACCCCCCTCTTCTTTCTCTCGTTGGGTGGAGACCCCACCTTAAATCCACAATGATCTCCCCTCAAGGTCCTTAACTTGACATCTGCAAAGACCCTTTTTCCAAAGTCACGTTCACAAGTTCTGGGAATCAGGACTTGGATGTATCTTTTGGGGGACACCATTCATCCCACTACAGGGCTGTTCAGAGTTCCAGGCATAGGAGTTGCTTAGTGGCCATGTGTATTCTCCAGTCCGAACCCTGCTGGTGCCAAGGGGTAGAGTCCTGTCCCCGAGGGGAACCCCCACTCTCCCACCCCGGGGTACCTTGGGTGACACTTAGATGCTGATGGTGAATCTGATCCATCTGCAGTGCTCTGGGTGGGATGGCAAGGACAGTTTGAATGGACCATGAACCACGACGTCTTTAAAGATCCAAGACGGGCTTTGGCTTAATGTGAGGAGGCACGTTCTAATGGTCAGAGCGGGGCAGGATGGAACAGCTGGTGTTTTTTGGGTATGGTCGCAGAGGCAGGGACCCGGGACCTGAGTTCTAGTCCTTAGCCACGGAGCTGAGCAGACCAGGGCCCTCCCTGCTCCCCTACACACCCAGGCCCCTCTTCTGTAAAGTGAGACCCTGCCGGCTTCGAGGTCCCCTCTCATCTCTCAAGTTCCTGCCCCGGACTCAGAGGAACCAGCCTCCCCCAAGGAGGCTGAGCTAAACGGCGCTTTTCCCGCCTCTCTTTTATGGAGTTTCATGGTGACACTGCTCGGCCTCCATCCGTTTAAAGAGCCCACCTGGGCACCACCTCTGGTCCAGGCTCCACAGGGAACCCAGAGCTGACTTCGGTTGAATTTCAGCCAAACAATGCCCCAGCTTTACCAACGAGGGGTCCTGCCACCTCCGGGGTCAGGTAAGGGTAGGGCGGCCCACTGAAAGACCCCCAACGGGGGGTTGGTTGCCCCCGTTAAGTGGCAGAGGGCAGCCCGGAGTGTCCCCAGTGGTGGTCCTGTCATAATGAAGGCGGCTTCTCCACCACCCACTCCAGGTCCCAGCTCTGGTCAATAGAACTTCCTCTCCTTCTTAAAAAACATGCAGATCGTCTCTTTTCCTGGAACGTCTTCACCAGGTTAATTCCTAAGCGTCTTTCAGGTCTGCGGGCCTCTCAGCCTCCGAGGAGCCTCAGCTCTCCCGCTCTTGCTGAAAGGGGCCTGAGCGCCTGCACTTCTAACCAGCTCCCCGTAGTGCTGGCGCTGCCGGTCCTCGGGCCACCCCCTGTGGTCCGCCATCGGGTCGCTCTCAGGTGCATAGACCGGTGATGGCGCCTGTGGCTGTGTGGAACCTCTGGGGGCTTCGGGAGCGCCTGGTGCCTCTGCCCTTCTGTGCCGCCGCTACTCCCAGCACTTCCGACCTCAGATGAGGGGCTTCTCCCTCTGACACCAGATCTGTTGAGTCGTTTCCAACGCCACACCTCTGACTCCGCAGCACTACCTGGAGTTAGTGCAGACCCCACAGGCTAGGGGCTCAGTCCTGTAAGACCACCCCCACCTCAGATGCCAACCACAAGTCGGGGTGGTGGGGGAGGGGTTCCTACAACCCCCTTCTCAGATTGAAGGATTTACTAGAATGAATCAAATTCAGGGAAACATTGTACTTACTAATACTAGTTTATTATAAAGGATGCAAAGCAGAAACAGGCAAAGGGAAGAGATGCACAGGGTGAGAACCTGCGCCCACTGGGCGCACCACCCTCCTGGCACCTGCACGCAGAGGAACCTGAAACCCATCACTTAGGAGTTTTCATGGCGGCTTCATTACATAAGCATGATTGGCTAAGTCACTGGCCATTAGGGATCAACTCAACCTCCAGCCCCTACCCCCTCCCCTGAAGGTCAGGGGGCGGGGCTCAAATTTCCAAGCTTGAATGAAGCTGTTGTTTCCTCTGGCTGCCAGACCCATCCTGAGGCTGACGTGGGACCCACCAGGAGTCACCTCACTTGTGCAGTCTCAGGCATGGTCAAAAGGGGCCCCTTATGAAAGCCAAGAGATGCTCCTCTCACCCGAGCACTCAGGAAATTGCAACGGCTTTAGAAGCTCTTGTACCAGGAACCGGGGACAAAAAGCCCCATTTGTATTTCTGTATTTCTTAGTATGCAGTATCGTTCAACATCACAGCTTCACCACCCCATTCTAGGTGGGTCAGCTCTGTTCTGGTTCCCAGGCTCCATCTCCTTTTTGTCGCATTCGGGGTGAGGGAGGGGCTGGACCAGAGAAGGCAAGAGCCAGCCAGGTGTGTGGCCAGACCAGCTCAACAAGCGGTGGGAAATGAGGGGGCATTGGCCTCTTTCCCCAGAACCATGCCTGCAAGCAGGGAGGCTGGGAGGGGATGGTGCCCATGACAGCTCTTTGTGACTCCGTGTGTGGTATACTGAGCAGCTGGTCCCCATCAGACCAGCCTCAAGCCCTTTCTAAGGAGCCGCGTGCAGGAGGCTCTCGCTTCAGTCCCAGCAGACCCCATGCAGCGAGGGGTAGCATGGGAGGAGTGTTGCCATGGCAACACAACGACTTAGGTGGGTGGCGCTGGTAACCAGGGCTGCTTTTGACCTTCCCCATCTTTTGGGCTGGTGGCATTCTCATCTCCCTGCTTTGCCACCAGGGCGATGCCCAAATCTGCAACAAGACACCATCCTCAGGGTAGGCCTTTTGGCCTCCCCCTCCCACCCACCCGCTCATCTTAGAGGGAATAGCCTATGAAATACATTTTACCAGGGGGCGCAGAGGAATCCTGTGTCCATCTGAAAGCACCTAAACCAAAGCTGAACCCCTGCTTGCCCGGGATCTACCCTGGATCCCATGCCCCAGGCCGTACCTGCCGCTCACTCCAGCTATAACCAGATAAGCAAGGTGACCTCCAAGTTCCAGGTGGATCCGACACAAAAGATGGTGAAATACAGCTTTAGAGTCACATCTCCAGGCTTGACCCCTCTCTCTTAACTGTGTGTCCTTAGGCAGAAGGCTTCGCCTCTCTGAGCCTTAGCTTGGTCTCAGTCAAGTAGGTGCTGAAACACTTCTTTCAGGGGCTGCCATCGATGTTATGGGAAGGGGCATCTGAAGGCTTCCATGGACCACAGCCTCTCTTATCGTGATGAAGGTGTGTCTCGTCAGCTGCGGCTGCTCTAACACAGCACTGCAGACCAGTGGCTTATAAACAACAGAAACTCAGTCCTCACTGTCCTGGAGGCTGGAGTCCGATGTAATGGGTTTGCCAGCAGATTTGTGTCAGGCGGTGGGCGGGGGGCGGGGTCCTCTTACGGTTCCTTGCTGGCCATCTTTTTCACTGCATCCTCAAGGCAGAACGGGTGAGGGAGCACTCCAGTCTCTTTTATAAGGATACCAACCCTAGTCGTGAGGCTCCACCCTCCTGACCCGATCTCTTCCCAGAGGCTGTGCCTCCTAATGCCGTCCCACTGGGGCTTGCTTTCACCCCGTGGATGGGAGGGGGACATAGACGTTTGGTCCATGGCAGGATGTTTATGCATCTCCTGTCGTCATCCCCGGATTGTTTGCAGAGGTCTAGCTCTGTGCCAGCTGCTCCAGGAATCTTGGCTCTTTTAAAGGCCTCGTGCAAAACAAGTCACGTTGCATAAATTGACAAGATATTTAGGATTTGCTTTAAAATAGTGAAGGAAAAAAATAAGAATAGTTTAAGCAATGGGAGAAATCTTGTTAATTATTGAATCTGGGTGATGGACAAGTGGCATTTCATCGTACTATTCTCTCTACAACTTGTAAGGTTTAATAAAATTAAAAAAAAAAAGACCCTGGTTAGAGACCCCAGGGCCCACCACCCTGGTCCAGCCATAAGCTTTCCCCTACCCTCTGGGGACTACAGGCAGTGTTGCAGGCTTGGGGTCCTGGGAGGAGGAGGAGGAGAGCTGGCCCCTGCAGCTGGGCAGGCCCCAGCGGCCTGGGGTGGGGGACTGGCCTGCCCTCCTCGATGGCCAGGCCCTGGGAACAGCCAGGAGGGCTCACGGCTGACCGCATGGCTGGCCAGGCCAGCATCTCCTACCCCGCTGGGCCAGGCAGCTCCCTTTGACCTTGGCGGGGTCTGTTGGACACGTGTGTGGGCAGCCTGCCTGGTCTCATGCAAGGTCAGAGGATTTCTGAAAATGCTTAAAAGCTTCAGCTCTTTTAAGGATTTTCTTCGTTTTGGCACTGTGGGGTGTTTCTGGGCTGCGAGCGGCTGAAGCCCTGGGGCGCCTGTGTTTCTTCACCATGTCGGGGTGAGGCCAGGCTGGGAGGACCTTGGCCTGGCATCCCCTGAGTAGTGGGTCTCGGGGACTTGTCCTGAGCTTCCTCGGGCTGGGGATGAACGCCCTCCAGTCAAGGAGGCCAAGGAGGCTGGTCGGGTGCCCCCCCCCACCGCTGACAGTCAGGGTGGCCTGGCCACCACAGCCCCAGGGCTGGCCACAGAGGGAGTCACCCAGCCTGCTGGCCTGAGCTGTCCCACCCTGGCACCTGCTCCCCACACAAGGTCAAGCAGGCACCCCTGGGAAGACCCTGGGGAGGGGGTGGTCCCCGAGGCCCAGGAGGAGGAGAACTGGCGGGGCCTCTTTAAGAATCTTTGTTGCCATCTGAGAGAAAATGCAGAGCAGGCCTGCAGTAAACGACTCCCAGCTGTGCGAGGGGCGCAGGGGCGGGCAGGCCCATGGAGCTCGGAGCTCGGAGCTTGCTTGCTGCTTGCTCGGCTGGAGGGTGGGATGGGCTGAGGTCAGGCTGGGTGGGGACCAGCTGAAAACAGAGAGGACAGCAGGGCTGAGCAGTAGAGAGGGCTGTCCGAGCGCTGCTGGGCCTGGAAGCTTCCCCTTCCCTCGGGGCCTTTTCTGAATCCTTCCCAGAGCGCTCTAGCCCCTCCCTGCAGCCAGCGGGAGGAGGTTTCAGTCCCGCTGACGCGGAGGGGAGGGCGGCGGGAAAGGTTGTTGCAGTCTTTTCAGTTGCTCATCCGTCTGTCCGAGTGGTGCTTAGTATCTCTTTCTGTCGTATGTAGACCCAGGCACAGCACCTGTGACCTGTCCCTCAGCAACGCCCTTCTGCACACCCAGCCCCTGGACCACCACCGTCCCTTGCCCAGAAGTTGTACTGCAGCCTCCCGGGTCCATCCTGGCCTGCTCTGGAGGGCCATCGTTATCTGCTCTAAAGCACCTGATCGGGACATTTCCCTTGGCGTAAACCCAGATGGTGATTCCGTTAGTGATAGTAGATATACTAATTAGGGTGCTTTTGGTTCTGAGTGACAAATCCAGTTCAGAAAGGCTTAAACTCTGGAGAGGATATCGTTGTTTGCATTAACTGGGAAGTGCCGAGGCTGGGTGGGTGGGCTTCATGGATGGTTGAGCCAGCAGTTCAGCCATGCCCAGAGGACCAGGTTCAGGTCCACCTCTCCCTTCTGCCCTCTGTAGCAGCAACTTTAACTTCACCCTGGCTTCCCTCATGGTGCCAAAATGGCTGCAGTGGCTCCAGCTCTATACCACAACCTCTAAATGGCAGAGTGAATCTCTTTTTCTGAACTCCTGTAATGGCTACATATTTCTATAAAACAAATCACCCCCAAACTTAGTGACTACCTCTTTTATTTTGCTTATAATTCTGCAACTTGGGCAGGGCTCAGCAAGAATCCTTGCTCCACATGGCGCTGGCTGGGGCAGCTCAACTGGGGCTTGGAGGATTCGTTGTGAGATGGCTCATTCACATGGCTAGCAAGCTGGTGCTGCTGCTGGCTCGGAACTCGGCCAGGGCTGTGGGCCGGGGCCATGGGATCCTTGTTGTACAGAGCTGCCTGGGCTTCCTGACAGCACCGTGCCTGGGCTCCAAGAGGCAGATGTGCGTGGCATTTGTATGACCTGGCCTCAGGGTTCTCGCAGCATCGATTCCATTGCACTCGGCTGATTGCAGTGGTCACAAAGGCCTGGATTCAAGGGGAGGGCCACAGTCCTCACCGCTCGTGGGAAGAGTGTCAAGATGGCTTTGATGAGGAGTTTATGGGATGAGAGCTATTCTTGTTGCCCTCTTGGCAGTAGGATCGGCCACAACCCACTGCGAATGTCTTCTCCCCCCTCCCTGAGCCAGTCTGGGGCACTTGCCCAACACTGAACTGGTAACTGAGGCCAGGAGATGGGGATGTGCGTCATCCCTGGAGCCAGGGAAGACAGCTCTCCCCAGGGTGTGGGGCTGGGTGTGGGAGGGACGTATAGGTCCCCCAGAGAAAGGAAGAAGCTCAGAATGCAATCAGTGCCCCCTACAGCCACTTTCATGGAACACTCATTACACGCAAGGGGCTGTGCTAAGTGCTTGACCTCATTCACTCCGTTACTTCTCACCACAACCCAATGAGACTGGTACTGTTGTTCTCTGCACTGCACAGAAACTGGAGTTTGTAACTTGCCTAAGGTCACAAGGCCAGAAGACTGCAGAGACAGAGTTACAGGTCACGTTTGTATGGGTCTAATTCTATGCTACACTACCTATAGCAAAGTACAAGTCTTCTGGTCCATGGCTGAAGAAAGCAACTTGAATGTGGAAGCACATAGCCTGGTTGCACCAGCAGCCATTTTGTGACCATGAGGCAATCCAATTTGAGAAAGAAGCAGATATAGGAAGGAGGGGAGAACCTTGATCAAACATGGCAACGTCTGCCCTCCCTGGGGACTCAGCTTTACTGTTTAAGACCATAGGAGTTTGATGCGTGATTACTTACAATTGAGAGTAGCTTAACCAACACAGGAGGCTATTGTAATGTTTGTCCTATTTTATCATGGGGATTGTCCGTAGGTCTATGTTGGTGATTAGACAACAAGTGGCTCAGAAGAAGGGACCAGGCCTCACGCATTCCTCTACGCCTACTGCCTAGCACAGCAAGTGACACTCCTTTTTTGAGCCACACATGGAGAGAAAACAAATGAGAACAAATGTAGCTATTCGTCCAGAATTCTTGGCTCTGTGTCTGTACCTGGGGGTGCTCATTCACTGCCTCCCATCTTCAAAGCCCAAACACAGAAGCCACGTTGCAGTCGAGTCCCCTGCGATGTAGCTTTGGTGGAAGAGTGAGGAGACAGGCAGGTGGGTGCCTGGCGACCAGGGCAGCTGGGCTATGGAGGTGGCCCTTGGCAGGATGGCTGTAGAGAGACTGCGAAGAACCTTCATGGGAAGCAGGGGTGTGGCTGGGACGAGGCGAGCCCGGGGATTTTTCTGCTCTCAGCACATTTCACGGCAATAAACTCAGCCTCGTTGCTGTAAAAGCCTTCAGCCTGAGATGCACAGTCTTTCCTGTTTTCTTTGTCCAAGGTTAACTTTTCACAAGTCAGATTTCCTCCTACTCATCCAGCCTCATTAAGGAGCTTTGGCACATAAAGCTTTGCTGAGCGTAATAAAAGAAAGCCTCAAAAAAAAAAAGCTGAGTGTTCTGAGAGTGCTCGGCTCGGTCCCCCCCCCCACCCCGTACCCCGGCTCTGCTGCTCACTGTGTGCGGGCGCCAGGGTCTGCCCCGCCCCCGCCCCAGGTCCTTGAGGGCCGCTGGGTGGAGCCCCGTCCTAAGCCTGGTCCCAAGGGTCCCTTAGTTCTGTCCTGGGTTGCTTCCCCAGGAAGGGAAGGGGATCATTGGACCAAATTCTGGCTATTCTTCCAGGTGGCAAGTGATTTTTGACAGACACGGTTCATGCCTTTTCCTCTGAGAAGGTCACCCTGACACAGATACCTATGAACTATTAGCAAGAAACTAGACGTTTAACCCAACTAAGCAGTGACTGTACTTTCTGTATAAATAAATCTTTGCAAAAGGTCAGGACTGAGGGGGACTGACCGGGAGGTGGTGTCTTGGTGCTGGCGACTGTCCGTGTCTCCACCATCCTGGATGCTGGTCATTCGGTGTCTTCACTTTGCAGGGACGTATCATGCTCAACACTGAAGGTTTGTGTACTTCTCTGTACATATGTTGTCCCAGAACCAAAAATGCCTTTCGGCACCTCTCCGGACAGGGGACCCATGATGTTTCCTTTAAGGGCGGGTCAGAGGTAGACACTCATGCTCCAAGCAGCTGAAGCCAGAGGGAGGAATCACAGGAATCTCACCTGTCAAGATGCCCTGTGAGAAGAAACCAGCCCCAGAGCCCCTCCCCTCCCCTCCCATGGCGGCCCCCAAATTGTCCCTCCACCCCAGCCCTTGTGTTTGACCCCTGTCCACTCCCACTTACCTTCCAATGGCTCTGACTCCTCTTGCTCTTTTTGCCAGCAAAAGCTGTGCCTTGGTCAGCCCAAGAAAGAGAAGCAATCCTCACCTCCCTTTCTTCTCTCCCTCACCCACGACTCC